ACTCAATTCCACCTGCTATATTGTACATCTGTGGTGCACAATCTCCAGCCAAAGGGCCAGATCCAGCTTGTGGAGCCATGTTATCAAGTCTGTGGGGCCTCCTTGTAGGTCTGGAAACATGGCAGTGAGGGAATGGTGGCAATTAACACTGCCACACTCCCTGGCCACTAAATTTCCAAGCACTGCAGACCACATGACCAGCCCCAGCCAAGCTGATCCCACATGCTGTATTGGCCTGCACTATTCTTCCACCCTATGGGGCTTAAAGGCTGGGCACCCACATTCTACAATATGGAAATGGTGGCCACTTTGCTGGCTCTAGCAATACTGGAAGATGGCAGCCATATGGAATAAAGGGAAACCAATCAACTTATGGCTTTTCATCATGTTATCACACGATGCATTTAATCCCTCTCTGCCCCCCATTTTATCTGGATGTTTATCACTAGCGTCTTTCAAGAGTTGGCAATACTATGAAAGGACGAACACCACTGCAAGGCCCAGGCATGTAGAGGGATCTTTCCTTTCTCCTTCTTTGGACAACTGATGTTTTTAGAATTACAGTACTAGTGGCTCTGAGTCATGAGTTAGCAATTTCTTGCACCATTTGAGCAGTGACAGCTCTTGCTTACCAAAGTAGAAAAAGCCTCAAAGAATTCTATCTTGTTAGTAAGACAGGGCCTTCATTTCCTGAAACCACGTGGAGCAGCTTAATTGAGCTACATTTTGCAAGTGTCCACCTTCCCTGGCCTCCCCAAACATACGTACATACATGCACATTCTTGGTGCTGTAAATAGTTTGCATTAACATTTGCTACAGCTGCTGTCAGTCTCTGGAGCTGCCTGATTTATATCCGCTTGCTCCTTTTCGGTCCCACCATGTTATTTTAGCCTCTTTCCGGTCCTCATAATTCTCTCCTAAACAGAGTGAGCCTGTAAAAATGTGGGCAAAAGCTTCTTCAGTGTCTGACATTCCTGCCTAGCTGATGTCTGCTCAAGGGCCTTGTCATTTTTAACATCCTCTAATCAATCAGCATTTTGGCTGTTGCTGGCAGCTTCCGGATTCTTTCTTTTGATGCATCCCTACAGACATAATTTTTGTTTTGGCAAATGATCAACTTCCTCATTTATACGGACAGATGCAAAATAGCAGTTTAATATCACCTCCTTCTGCCTCTAATTTTCATCATTTGGAACAGGAATTCTGTTGTCAGCCCATCTCCAGGTAAGGCATCTACATGGAAATGGTTTACTCTCACTCAGAGCCCTTTGTGTTTGACCATCTTAATTCTCTAGAGGGATAGTCCCAAGTTGCAAAGTTGTTTATATTTTAAGTGCCCCAGTGCTCAGAATATTCCAGTCTGAGGGATATGGGGTGGACAGTGTAGCACAGGGTGGGCAATTATTTAGGTTGGTGGGCCACTTGATGAGTTTTGGTGAGCTGTCAAGGGCTGCACACGAGGGTTGTGCGAGGCGTCAGACAGAGCTTCAGATCTGGAAAAGCTTCAGACACTTCAGGGTTTGAAGCATAATGTCCAGGTCAAAGTGCTGCCTCGTTCGGCTTCCCGAAGTGGTTCAGAGCTTCCAAAGCACTTTGGAGCTGCCTCGGAGATCTGGCCATAGGGTATAATGGGGAAACAATAAAATATCTATAACTTTGTTGTTTTTTGTCTGATTTGGATGCATTTTTCAGGGATGATAGACTCTACAGAGAGCATGAAGCCTGCCAAGTTTCAATAAGATCAGTGCAGGGGTTTGGGGGGAACTGCACCCCAAATTCTTTAAAGCAAAACTCCTGTCACGTCTATGTGTTACACCACAGGGGGGTTAAAACTGCAGGGGTAGTAGCTCTTACTGAGGCCACAAAGCCTGCCAAGTTTCAAGAATACCAGTGCAGGGGTTTGGGGGGAACTGCCCCTCAAGCTGCGGACAAGCAAAACTTGTGCCATGGGTGACCCTGTGTGTTAAGGCACAGCGGGGTGACAGCTGCAGGGATGGTGGCCCCTGCTGTGGCCACGACGCCTGCCAGCTGTCGAGGAGATCGGTGCAGGGGGAGTCTGGGGCTCTGCACCCCTAGATGCTGACAGGGAAAACTTGTGCCATGGGTGCTTGTGGGACTGACTGTCTCTGTCTTGGGGCAGAGGGCAGGGGCCAAGATAGTACCGTTGGTGGGCACGGGATAGCAGTGTGGCCCAGGCTGCTCCAGGTATGCAGAGCTCAGCCCCATTCAGAGGTCCACTGGGGCAGCTGTGGGCTATAGTGGATTCAATTAATTAGCAGGTTGGATCCAACCTGCAGCCCATATTTTGCCCACCCCTGCTATAGCAGGATGTTATCATGCTACCATATCTAGTCCACTGTGCAACATTAACCAATGAAACCTTCCAAACCACCCTAATGAGGTGCCATTTTTCATTACCTCCTTCATATGGATGGGAAAAGGAAGATACAGAAATATTAAAGTTTTTAAAGCAGTCCAAGGGTGTCAGGCACCTCAATGCTACAGCCATTCAATGAGAATCAGGTACTTAAAACTCATTAGGTAATTTTTTAAAATATCAGTGCAGGCAGGTATTTACAGTCTTTGTTCCAGACTGTACTCAGGATCCCATTAAAATACATTGTCTTCTATCAAGCATGACCCACTGGTCAGAATGGGGTTGACAGCTTCTCTGCTGATCAAGAGAGGTACAAGTTTATTAGAGCTCTTACTTACAAAGCCTCTCTTCCTAGCAAATATGAGTCTGTATAGCTTTCACTGAAGTCCTTGATAAATATGAATGAATAATGTTTTTTGATTTGCAGGTGCTTGTTCAAAATCAAAAACCATTGTGTTTGTCAACATCAACACACTTTTTTGGATCGAAAAAGTTGGGGAAAGCACGTTGTGTCAAACAAAATGTTTCTTTCAACTCGAAATGTGTCTTTCTGATTTCAGTTATATTCAATTTTTTCAGGGAAAATTCAGAGAAATTTCAAATAAAGAAAATGAAAAGCTTTCCAAATGTAACATTTTGACTTTTGGGGATTTGGGGGGTTTTGGACAAACAGTTCTGTGAAACTGATATGAATTTGTGAAAGTATGTCATTAGAAAACTAGGGGAGACTTTTATCTTGCAAGGCAGGTAAGATGCTTCAGTTAATTCTCAATAGCAGCTGTCTTTACTAGAACAGAATATTTTCTTTCCTTTTTTTATGATGCCATATTATGAGTCAGTGGGCATGTCTACATGAGCTACTATGCCGCCATAGCAATGAGGTACCGTCACTGTAGCTCATTGCTACAGCAACCTAGCTTTGGTCCTGTAATGCCAACCCTACTGAGCAGTAGTGTGCTTAAGCAAGTACTAAATGACTGCTGAGTAACAACTGTACAGTTTGGTGTATGTGTAGATGTGCCCATTGTTAGCAGTTTATATTATGCACTACCACTACTGACATGTCATTAGAATGTAAAATGAATATAAAAGTGAAAAAACATAATTTGAAACTTTTTGAAATGCTGTCATGACATTTCAAAATCCTTACACAATCTTTTTTCTGAAACCAACTTTTTTTTAAAAATACCATTTTATGATTTTTTTTTTTTTAAATATTTGGTTTTGTTGTGGTTCAGCATGAAAACAAGTTTCAGTTTCCCACAAACCAGAAATTCTGAGTTTGGTTACATTTTAACCATTACAAGCTATTCACCCAGCCCTACTAGGGACGTCAAGCTGGGAAGTTTCTGCTCAAACTGGAACACCTCTTAAGAAGACTCAAGAGAGCCATTGGAAGCTTAAATCACCAATTTTATAAATAGAGCTTTTCACCTCTGTGTGGGAGTGGAAGTAAAGGAATAAAACTTGCAAAAATCAAGGAACTTTTTTTTTTTTTTTGGCCACTGTCTCCATGTGTTCCCCTTCCTCATTACTGAAATATCTGGATTTGCATAACAGCTTCTCTTTGCCTGGATCCTGCAGCAAAGCTACAAGGCTGTTTAGAGTCACAAAGTGTTGTCCTAGAAAGGTTTAATATGGCCTGATTCAGTCATTGTCTAAACCCTGATCACTAGCAGTTATTGTGAGAGAAGCTAAGGAAAACAGATGAAAACCTATTAGTTTTACTGGGCTGATTTTATATATTATAAGGTCTTTTTTAGTAGAGTGCAGCCATGGAAAATAAAGGAAAAGAACATTTTTTGCCAGTTAAATCTACTTTAAACCTTGACACTGTTTAGTAGATACAAGAAGAATTCAAGTACATATCCCTGACCTGTGTAAATAAGGAGCTGTTCAAGAAAGACTTGATAATGTGTCTATAGAGAAGGGCATCCCTCCAATATTTACTTTACCTGTCTGGGAAAGAAGCAGATGTTCATTAAATTGCTTAAATCAAGTATAATTTTAGCAGACACATCTACTTATTAGCCCATTTTGTGCCTGTTAGCACAAAAAAAATGACAGGATGCCTAGGGGCTAGGATGCAGTACTCCTTTTGTCAACAGTCATGTGAGCTTGGCAAATCATGAGTCTCAATTGCCTCATTAGTAAAGTTGGGGTAATCGAGCTTCCTGGAGAGAGGTAGAAACTGCTGTTTTCTATTTCAGGGAAAATGTAATTTAAAACGTTTTAGTGTTGCAGAATGAAAACGAAATTTTCCTGAACTTCCCACCAAATAATTCTGAAAAAAACCCATTCATTTTGATACAACTGAAAAACATGCAAGGTGTATTTTGGCCTTTTAAAACTCTAATATTTTTTCTATGTAAAAAAATAATAATTTCAGAAGGACTTCTTAAAATTAAAAAATTTAAAATCAGAACCTTTCCTTCTACAAATACACATCCTGATCAGTTTGTGTATGTAACAGACTGGGGGAAGACTGAGTTTTAAGGAAAGAGAATCGGTAATTACTGCTTCTAAAATACTCCTCTTTGATCAGCATGAATCCACCCCCAGCCCCATGTGCACAGTGGGTCCCCTTGAAACTCTCATCACTCAGGTCTGGTTTCTTTTCAGTTAAAAGACCGTAAGTTAAGTGCTTGCTCTGCGACTCAGAAAAAGAAGGGCGACTCGGACCAAGAAGCGGACAGCGACCAAGACAAACTGAAAGACTGCAATGGCAGAGTTGTCCCCAAGGTTGTACTGGAGCGATCTGCTACAGTAAGGGAAGTATGTGTCAGACCTGTTTCTTCTCAGTGTTGCACGTCTTTGTGTGGTGGGTGAGGTTCATCCCCAGAAGAGGGCCAAGCAGGGGTGGCTGGTACCCAGTAGGACTCCTGACAGGGGCTAGAGGAGACCTGAGATCCAACTGGTTTTGCTTACTGCAATGTCTTCTATAGGGTCCAAAGCAGAAATGGTGGAGTATAGGAATGCTCTAGTCAAGCCAGTCCTGGCTCCGGTCCCTAAATTATAGGTCTTGTGTTGGGCTCTTTTGC